AATGAAGAAAGTTAGTGCAAACTGCTGAATTGTTTGGCATTTAATAATTTTAACACTGAACAAAGGCATAATTTGTACTGTATCACATTGTGCTCTATATGTAATAAAATCATTAATTAAATATATGCTGATTTATTTATCCCTTTGGATCCTCGAGTTATTGTTTACTCATGTATATAAAACATAACTCCAAAGATGATAAATCAGTCATTACTTGAAATTACATGTATTCAAATGCAAACATACATGTAAGTGGTTATATGCAATTTGCAATGGAACATGGGCATAAATTTTGAACTGAGAATCATGTAGGCATTCCCAGATTAACTGAGTAGCTTGATTTCTCTGAGTCATCTGGTTTCTCAATTGTACACACTGATGACTTTTACCTGACTTCCTGAGAATGCTGTGTTGTTCTCGCCTTTAGCTCCTTCAAAACACAAGAAATAATAAACACTTAGATGAATTCAATCAAGGGAGTAAATGATACTGTATAATAATACACACATACTTGCATTACACTTACCAGTTCTGGTGGCAGTGTTTCTACTATTGGATGTTTTTGTCTGTTTTCTGATTAGAGAGATAATGAGTCATTAGTTTCTAAATTAGATATTAGACAGGTATTATCAGACTTTTTGAAACATATTAATAATAATAATGATGATAACAACATTATGTGTACTTAGTAACCAGGTAAGCACTTTACGTAAGCTGCTTTTGATTACGTCAAGTCAATTTTGATGATCATAATTGTGTGTTGTTGGGAGAAACAGTAAAAATATTATGCAATTTCAGAAGCTAAAAAAACCCTCTCTTTTACACTGTTGCTCCTGGTTCAGCAAAAAGAAAGGTAAGACAGGTCTAGCTCAGAGTAATTTAGCTGTCCCCATAAGTGTTTTCTCACATTCTAGCTTAACTGAATACATAAGCACAATTTCTAAAAAATTAAACAGGGCTGTGTAGCCTGCAGTACTGTAAGGATGAACACTGATGAAAATATTAGTTTTGGACAAGAGAGTCAGAGTCGAAGGTAAAGTCAGGCTTAGGACTATATAGACAATATACATATTTTGAGACAAGCAAAAGCATCCTAACACTCCCTCCCACCCTGCAGCAATCTCTGTGTTATGACTAAAACGGAATTAATTGATTCTTAATAATTAAAAAATGGCTTCCTGGTTCTATCTTAAAGCTTTTTCCCACTTACTTTTTTCGATAAATGTAGTACCCTCCACCAGCACCTGCTCCACAGATGACTAAACATGCAATTACTATTCCAGCGATGCAACCAGCCGAACAAGGTGATGTTTTGACAGCTAAAATAAAAAAAGGGGACAAGAACATGATTTTACACCATTCTGTAGACAGGAACTATCGTGGATACAAAGCATACAATAATTTCTCCCTTTCTGTAATTTCACAGTGCATAACTTATGAATATCTATTTTTTCATTTTAAGAGTATGCCTTAACGTCTCCTTTAGCTGGAGAACATTATTGTTTGGCAGAAAGGCTGATTTTGCTTTAGTAAACATGCTATCACATTTATGCTTTGCTTAAACGGGAACTCTTTGTGTCCCTATTGTGACTTCAGATGAAGGTGCATAAAAACTGATAAATTGCCTTAAGTGATGTCACCTGAGTCAGGGGGGACTTAATAAGACTTTATGCATGAGTCTGGGGATGTGGTGTTAAAAGGGCTTACTAGACCTCTGCACCCTGCTCCCCACCTCTGCTTGAGGCTACTCTTAGTGACAATAGGAACTAGCATAAAAAATCCAAATATCTGACCAAAATTTGGACAGTTGAGTTGCACTTTGGGTGATTTTGTGTGGTTTTCATACTGTTTTTTGAATTGTCCTTCAAGAGTTCCACAATGTTAAACTGCAGAAGTGAAATGCAACATTTTTTTGTAATCTTTTAAAGGTGGACGAAGCGATTCTAATCCAACAAAATGACAGATGCCATGATATAGAGTGAACAACCACACATCAAGTTTTGTAACTAATGTTAGCAAACTGTTGCTACAGTTGCTGCTACAACGCTAACATGCAGAAAGGACAAGACAGTCCCAGAGTCAGCAAAACAGCTTCAAACAGCAATACTCACATATTTCCTGCTATTATAGCTAACATCCCAACAGAAGCAGCCAGTCACAAATCATGGCTAAATTGGATGGAATAGTGTTGTGTGGTTGGGTGACGGCCACTTTATTTGTTTCCTGTTTACAGATCCAGGGCTGAGTTCAAACACTGTTTTGTTTTTCGGCACACGCACATAAAAAACAGCTAGCAGACTGTGAGGAGATATTTGCTGAATTTGACAAAAAGACGTGTATTGGATTAAAATTGCTCACCCCACCTTTAATGCCAATAAAGTGGAGTTTTTCTAAAATAAATCTTACTCTTAATCTTAGACTTACAAGCTACTCTTGATATCATCAGAAATATAACATTGTGGAATAAAGTGGTCAACATCCAAGAGCATCAACAAAAAGCAATCAACTCCATCTTATTACCTGTTACAGACAACTGGTGGACCGCTGATGATGATGTTTTTCCAGTTACATTATTCATTGCTTCACAGATGTAGTTGCCACTGTCAGAAAGTTCAGTGATGTTTTTTGTAAATATAGCAGAATTCTGTAACTCAGCCCCATTCAGTGTCCAGGTGTAACTAGCAGATGGTGTGGACTCAGCAGAGCAGGTTAATGTTAAGTTTCTGTTCAATATAGATCTCATTTGGACCTGTGATTTGAACATTTTCTGGTCCATCTGAAAAAAACATAGTTGTAAAGTTCTTACAGCAGCACAAATAATAACTATGAAATAAAGAATATGAAACTTGTGTTACATGCTGACAAACCAAAACCAGTCGCACACAGTTATTTATGGCAGTCATCATTTTGAACAGTAAATGTACATTGTACAGTGTGTTACCTACAGTTAACAACCACGGTGTATGTAGCTTCCTCAGTGTTGATTGGGTTGCTGATTTTACAGGAATATTACCACTGTCTTTTTTATTCAGACTGATAAAAGACAGCACTCTGTTGTTATCGTAAAGTATCATGTTGTCAGTCAGAGTCAGATTTGAGCCGTCCTTCACCCACTTTCTGGTAAAGACAGTGCCAGCTGCGTCACAGGTTAGGTTGACAGAGCTCCCCTCAATCGGCATGTTTGTTGATGATTTGACAGAAGCACCTGATATTCTCTCTGTAGAACAAAACATCACAGAATTTGTGTGAAAACATGAACAACTGACTGTTACTGTGTTACTATGGGGTTGATTGGGTGAGTAAATAAATATAATATCATTGTGAAGGAGCAAACATTACAAAAAAATCTTTAACAATTGAATTAAGTCGACAGTTGCAAGAGTCGTGATCTTTGCCAGGTAACATGCTCTCCATTTGTTCAAATGTTATTGTCTCAAGTTAGTCATAATAGAGCATGAAATCCTTAAACCTGAAATAAAGTTTTTTGCCTCTTGGAATCAGTGGAAACAAGTTGTAAACACAATATTGACACATAATTATTGTTGATAAGTTGATACAACTTTCTTTGGATACCAGTGACCTGGATGACTGAGAACCTTCACAGACATATAGCAAACTTGTTAGTAAACAGTTGCCTATTTTTTAGGTTACACATTTAAGAAGATAGATGAGTAACTTGTATCACATCATCGTAGCATGTAATCTTCTGCTGTTGACGTCATTTCCACATTTCAAAAAACCCTAACTGTTCTAATTAGATGTGAAGTGCTTTGTGACTTTTACCGACCTGTAAGAATAAATGAACAAGGATGAGTTGGCTGGCCCTCAGTGGATAAATAAGAAGAACCAGCTCAAGCCCATCGCTTTAGGGGCCTACACTGGGTTCTCTCCTAAGTTCTCTCCTAGGTTAGGGTGCAAAGTCGAGGCTTAGTAACTACTTAGTTAGTTTGTAACAAATTAGCTACTAAAATTGGTTGCACCACAATTACTTGGGGCAGAACCTAACTAGTTTTGATGTAAAGTCATAACTATTGCGAGTGGCCAATCAGAGATCCTAGATTCCATCGTTATAGTTTTGTGCACATTAGCTTTCTTGCTGGTATGAGCCACATGGCATCATAGCACATCGTAATAATTTGATTATCAATAAATAAGGGCTCTGCTGGATTGCAGTGTTGCATAATTGTATGCAATTTATAAAAAAATGATGCTGTGTGGCAGAAAAACTGCAGTTTAACAATTGTTGAGCTTTATTCTGTGACATTTAATGATTTACACCTACCCTGGGCTATGTGTAACTATCTAGTTGTTACTTTCAGAGTACAGTTGTAACTTATTAATTTAAGAAATGCATAAATAATGAACCAAGCGGTATCCATCACCTTGATAATGACCCCACAGAGGTTAAATGGCTGGGATTCCCTGCTAGTCAGTCAGAACTGAAGAAGCAAAACGTATTCAACCAAGTCCATTGGATTTTAACTTTCCTTGGATTACACAAATAATGTTTTTCTTGTCTTTTGTTATTTAAGATGAAGGTAATCTGATCTGAGAGCACACTTTGCCAAACACAAATTATTTGGCGTTAAAGTTGGGGTATGTGATTCTAATCCGATACACGTCTTTTTGTCAAATACAATAAATAGCTCCTCAAGGTCCATAGCTGTCCGTTTAGTGTGTGTGCGCAAAAAAAACACAGCCTTGGCTCTGTAAATGGGAAATGTTTACAACTAACTACTACATTATCTATATTATGCATTTTAGCTTTGCAGCAGCAACTGTGGCGTAAGTTTGCTAACCCACAACTATAGCTACTTGCTGTGTCATCATTTGCTCCAAATCATGGTATTTGTTGTGATATTGGATATTTGTCCAGAATGGCAACCCCCACCTTTAACAGAATGCTAATTCCAGTACTATATCCAAATGCCACTACTGACAATAAAATGCTATCTTGTTGAATGTGTCACTACAGTAAAAACCTATTCATTTCAACTTACCCAGTACAGAGACAACTGATGGCTGAGAAGTTTGATATCTCATGGTTTTTTTGTTATAGGCCTGGCAGCTGTAGTTACCACTGTGACTCATCTGAATGTTTATCAGTGTGAGCTCTGATCCAGTATCAGACTGCAGGTCTCCATTCAGAAACCAGTTAAACAAGGCAGAGGGTCTGGAGACAGCTGAACAGGACAGACTGGTGTTTGATCCTTCCTCAAAGTATTCTTGTGTCGGAGATATTGTCAAATAAATATTTTCTGGGCCATCTACAGTGTGTGCCGTATGGGGAGTAAAAAGCAACAACAAAGTAGTAATGTTAGCAGCTTGAAGAAAGAGTGCGAAGCCTCAGTACACCATCAAATGAAGATCAAAGATGTATCTTTGAAGCTGTATGTCCACAGCACAGAGCAAACTTCATGAATATATTGCAAGATAAATGTTATGCACATGTAGGTTAATAACTCACAGCTGATGGTGAGGTTTACAGGATCACTTGTGCCATTACTGAAAGGATTGAACACACGACACCTGAATGGTCCCTGGTCATAGCGGGTCACACTGACTATAGTGAGAGTGGAGCCTCCATCAGTGAGCTGAACTCTGTCGCTGGCTGTAACCTCAGAGCTGCCGTTCAGCCAGAGGAAAGAGAGGGAGGATCCAGACGAGGAGCAGGACAAACTCATAGTACTGTTGAATTCCACCAAGTCTGTAGTGTTTGAGGTTACCACAACATTGGAAACACTTGCTGTGGGTGAAAAACACAGTGGTTTTATACTTGCCAGCTTTCTTGCCTAAAACCAATCAGACTGGATGGCAATGTCATTATCAGTCACTCCAAAAACAACTGAGATGTGAAAGACAATATAATCTGTCACCAGACTAGATTACTGCAAAGATATTACAGTTACCGAAAATACTGTGTATTTAAAGAGGTGGTATTATGCTAATTTTCAGGTTCACAATCTTATTTAGGTTTTGTACCAGAACAGGTTTACATAGTTTAATTTTTTTTTAAAACACTGTATTGTTGTCATACTGCACATTGCTGCAGCTCTACTTTCACCCTGTCTGTTGAAGGCTTCGTTTCAGCTATGGAGTGATGCGTCCTGCCTCTACATGATCTTGTAGGGAGTTGCACATGCGCAATTCCCAGTTAAGGATTACTAGCCAATCAGAAGCAGAGAAGGGCGGGTCAGTGAGAAGCCGGTGAGACAACAATGAGACCCATGCGAGCTGTGTAGTCTCGTCAAATGTTAAAAGTGAGGATAATGTTGCAGCGTGTAGGCTCATGTTAGGCTATGTATTGCCAGCCTTCAGCAATATCACTAATTAATTTTATTTCAGTCACAGATGCCGACACCCTCGCCTTAATAGAGGCAATGATCAAGCTGCAGTCAGTGTTTAACACATTATCAACGCTGACCGCCACGTTTTCGATTATTGTTTTTACTAGGCAATGGGTAAAATTGGATTTGATCACAGAGCTGGCCTACTAGGCTATTCGCTAAGCACCCCCTTCTGTTGGGTCTTCGCTCGTCGTCAGTTTTCCATTGAGGTCAAGGAAAGGTGGTTAGGAAAGGAGATTTTTTTTACTTTTCAGATGCAGTCACGGCTTCGGTTCAGCTGTAGCCTACATGTTGCTGACCAGCTTGACAACATAGACTGGATCAATAGTTTCAGAGTGGTGAGTTATTAAATCTGTAACAAAAGTATTTTTCATCCATAAATTTATAACTCTATACTCTATATCACAGTAACAACTTTGAACTTTGAACTTTAAATCTGCAACAAAAGTATTTTTCATCCATAAATTTATAACTGAGCTCTGTCTCTATATCACAGTAACAACTTTATGTCCATTGACTGCCTGGAGGGTAGCTAGTGTTTGGAAGGGAGAGCAGAGGTGTGTGACACACATCAGTTCAGTATCTGTTAATTAGTATGTTGTTTAAGGGTTCAGTCCAGTCTGTTGTCCTGTGTCCAGTCTGTTAATGTCATTGTAAGCTCTGCTTGATTTGTTATCCCTTTGATTATTATCTCTCTGTGTTTATCTGTTCAGTTGTCTTAGTCTGTGATTGTGTTGCCCTGTTTTCTTGTCGTCCTTAGCCACTCTGTTTGTGTGGTTGCTAACACCTTGTGTTATGTTTGACCTTAGCAGTTGGTCTGTTTGTGGTTTTGGTCCCTGGGAGCCTAAGTGCTCAAACAGAAACTAACATTCACACTGGGTTCAGTATCTTGCCCAAGGACACTTCGACATGCAACCAGGGGGAGCCAGGGATTGAACCACCAACCTTCTACCACCTGAGCCACAGCCACCCCATTCTGGATTACCTGCCTGTTTTGGACCTAGTTCCAGTGCTGTATGGATTTGGCTTTATTTTGGACTCTGTCTGCACCTTTCTGTGTACACCCTGTGTTTCAGTAAGTTTGAATAAACCCCTGAACTGTACCTCTACCTTGGTGTCTTGCGTTTGGGCTCACACCTCCTCTGCGCTCACCACGTCCGAATCGTGACACTCTTTGTATATTCAATATTGATTAGTTTCATACTGTACTTTCACATAGCCCAATCTTCACAGCTCCATTAAGCTCAATTAACTTTTTAAGATGACCTAAATTGTGTTCTATTAATAATGGTGATTTTGTTTATAAAATGAACATAGTTTGCATAACTGGCTTTGGTGGTGGGGGGGGGGTCTTTAAAAAAAACTTACAGGTACAAGAATTTAAATACCTGTTGTATTTTGTTTATTGATAGGTACATCAACTTATCATTAAATAGTTGTTGTAAAATTTAGGAATCTCTACATAATGTAATAACATACTTGGTTACTTTTAGGTCTGAGTAGCATCTAGCTGGCCACATTTGAACAATGCTCTAGTTTAAATTTAGAATCAACAACAAACATCAGGCACATGATACAGGTAAGTAGGCTACTCATCTGACCTACATATGCAACACGTCCTCATACCTAAGTGTCCCAAAACTACACATAAGACCGTTTCCAAAATTGCATCGCCCATATGTTTATTGGGAAGTACAATGACACTTTGTGTTGTTTCCAACAACAACATGAGCATTGGCAAGTACCGGTCCAGCGACCTTTAGTAGGCCTACGTTACGGATTGTAAGTCACACAATGTTTAACATGTGGAAAACGTAACATAAAAGTAGTAGTTTGGTTAGTTTTAGGCAACAGAACTTCGTTAGGTTTAGGCAACAAAATGACTTGGTTAGTTTTAGGAAAAGATTGTGGCTTGGGTTTAGAGCACATTGTGTAACTTAAGTCAGTAAGTCATCTACAAAACATTATTTAACCTAAAACTTGTCATCTTTGACTTTCTTTATCATGGAACTTGAGCCTCGTTATCTTGAGTGAAAGTCCTGAGTTTACATCACTCACCCATACACCCCACCACCATTCATAGGTAGGTCGCTCCTTACTCCACCAGACTTTTTCTACCACCAGGGGTTGTGGCCTAACTAAAAATGTAAACTTGGGTCATAATGAATGTTTGGATAAACAGCAACTCTCTGAATTAGTTCTTTACATTTTTGTCCTTCAGATGATCAGAAAATAAGTGTGTAAAGTTTTCACCTGCGCCAAGAAGATAAGAGACACCAATGTTGTTGTTGTTTTTTTTTTTAAATGATACATTTTCTTTATGTTTGGATTATATACTTTTAGAAATCATTAACAGAATTACCAGTGTATCTGAGGGTGTTATTGTCAGAATGTTACTGCAAAATGTGCTGAAAGCTGCATTAAGTGACTTTTTGGACACTTGTAGGCGAGCGCCACAACATACTGACACATGGTGATATATTCACACTTTTTTTTAATAGCTAATGTGTTAGCAAACAATTTGCCATTTATCCATCCAGTACAGATCAACAGTAACATTTCTGCTGCGTTTCTGGCCACTTGTTGAATAAAATATTCACACTCATTTTAGAAGGTAGCGAATGCAATGGGTTTATTAGAGCGTTTTTCCTGAAACTGTCACGCTCTGCCGGTTGGCCATCCTTTGTGTTTACTTTTGAGTTTGGTATCTGCCTTGGTATGTTGAGTTTTGGGTTCTGTCCTGTCTAGTGTCCAGTATCTGTTATATAGTCTGCTTGTCATGTCTAGTCTCTCTGTTTTCCTCTGCTCTCTCTCTCTGCCTTGTTAGTCTTATGTCTGTCACCTGTGTTGCTCCCGCCCTGCTCGTTAGTCCCTGTGTATATATACCTGGTGTTTCTGTCTTGTCCTTGTCCGGTCATTGTTCATGTTACCCCCCAGTCTGTCGTGTGTGTACTCTCTGCCTGTAACCAGCCTTGCTTGTCTCGTCTCCTCTCCCTGTACTTTTGGATTTCTGTTATTCAGCCACTCACCTGTAAGTGTGCTCGCTTTTGTTTGTTTATTAAAACCCTTCGTTATACCATACCTGCTCCGCTCTGTGTCCTGCGTTTGGGTTCTCCAACCTGCCTCCACACCACGATCGTGACAGAAACTCGTCCATAGACGGAGCTCTTCAAACCCAAAACCAAAAAAAGCTCAGTTGAGCTACATAGTTGGGTGATAATTCACCCAAAGCCATTTAACATTTAAAGGACCTATATGTAATTTTGTAATAAAATTAATAACATTTGTATTGTCTATTTGTGAATGAGTTGTAACCTCACAGAAAAATGAGCCATTCACCGGCTTTCTCAGATGCCTTTGAAAGCCTCTATGCTACTTACTATGCACCATTAATATAAAACTTATTTGAAAATAGCTATGCTAACTTGTTTTACACCTAGACAGATAAGTAAAATATATAAATGACAATTTCTTATTCTGCTATTACTAAATCTTTGTGTGTTTGCATTAGATTTTTGTTCACTGTCAATATAATGGTCAAACACCAGCATCTGTGGAAATTACAGTAGGTTTGAAGAGTATAGTTTAAATCCTACAGCCCTTATTTTTGGCAGCCCATCAAACTTATTTTGTTATATCTTGTTTCCATGAGTTGATACATATTACTTTTCCTCATAATAAATACAATAAAGAAATGCTAATGATTAAATGAAGTTGTGCCTTTTGTTTAGTTAGCTTTAGCACTTTCAGTCCTTATAAATGAGGACTTTCAAGACAAAATCTGCAGTATGTTGCCCTCCTGTGGTGTAACTGTTCTTCTAGGGGTCTGGATAAGAGGTGAAGCAAGGTGCTACTGATGTGATTTACTGAGCAGGATATCTTATATTTAACTTTTATAGGAGTGTATATCAAAGTTAATGTCCATTGAGAATTGATTTTAATATTTAACTTGCTGAAATGAAACAGAAGCTCAATAGCAGAAGTGAGTAAATGTGTTGAATACTTAAGTTCTCTGGGAACTTTATGAGTGGTCTTAATGTTACAGTTATGTTTTAGGTGGACCCAGAAGCAGATAACAGAGCAGTTAAGATAAAAGTCCTTATTGACAAAACGATCTGTTGGTGGGGCAGCTGGCATGATACAGGCAGGCAAGAGATGGCGTGGTGTTGGTAGAGACGGTTGGTGGTGAGTGATGAAGTGTAAGCACAAGAAACCTGGAGCACAGAAAAATCACAAAAAAAAAGAGGCAAGTTGGCGTACCTCTAATATACATCTAGTTTTGTAACGAAGTTGACATAGACTGCTTCTACTAGAGTGACGGACCAATCTGGCAACAAGTAGCAGTAGATGGTAGCCAGGCCCACAACACACGCACGCACATAGGCTACACACAAACACT